GGCGCGTGCGGCGGCCAGCGGGCGCCCACCCGTGAGCTCGGACATCGGCGAGGAGCGTGAGTGACGTGCGTTTTTAGGGAGCCGATGCCAACTTACTGTCACGTGGCTGCGCGCTGAGCACCCGCGGAGGCGTGATGGCAAGCCAAATTTTTCAACATTTACTTTTTCTTAAATTCATTCTTTAAAAGTTAATTTTTAAAATTGCGGTTGACACAGGTAGCGGAAAGAGCCTATCCAGGTAAACAAAGTAAAACAAAGCCCAAGTCAGCCCGCCCTCGGAACGGACTGACCCGAGGGGGCTTCCTCAGGCTGACGGGGCGGCTGAGGCGCCATCTTGGCACCCTCCCCGGGGCAGGATGCCCGGCGAGGCTGGGGTGGGTGGGCCGGGGGGACCGGCTTCCACGCGGCCAGGGGGAGCAGGCGGAGCGGGAAGCCTTTTAATGCAAATGTGTAGGGCTGCTGGCTGATGAGATCGGGCTCCGGTGGGGCTGGGACTCCCTGTTCCGCAGCAGCTGGCGGCATAGGGAGAGCTGGTTAACCGTAGGTACTGTAACGGCATGGTGTGTTTGCACCAAAAAAGGCAGAGCTGCAGGCCCTGGAAAAGAAAACTCTTGTCCCGTGGGGGCATACTTACGTAGGTGAACACACGCACACCTCCCTATATCTAAATAACGTTGCAGGCCCCTCCCGTGTTTTATTAAACAATCAAAAAAGGCAAGATGATACCAAAAGGAGATTTAAAAATGATCTAGAAGCAGCAGTTGAAACACATCTCCTTGACAATTCTACATCCAGGAGCAATCCCAGCACTATCAGATCACCTTTCCAAAATCATCATGCGCCTGCCTCTAGTGATGCTGAAGACTGTTAGTGCCTCAGATGATCATAAAAGAAGCGGATCAGTAGCCCAGAGCTGAAACCTGTTACATTTCTGTCCGCACTTTTGACTAGTATTTGGCCCTGGCGACAAGGAGACACGAGTTGTGCTTTGTAGCATCATAAGCAAATGCATCTTGAAAGGTGCAGCCCGCTTACTGGTGTGAAGCAGTCTGCAGCATTTACTGCAAACCTAACAAGCCAGACAGAACGGATATATTGCAAATCATGAGCATTTACAACTAGAGTGCTCATGGGGTGGGGACATAATCTCTTTTGGTGCCACATTCTACCATAGGTTGTCTGTAAAATAAACAAATCTAGTGAAGAAAACAATCGCTCAGCAATTGAGCTTCAAAAATTAACAAAGGTCCCCAAATCATTCTTTACAAATCATTAAGTTAAGATACATTAAGATAAGGGTTATGGTATCTCCTTGGCTGCTGTTCTCCCTTCTCTGCTTGGGTACCTACTTTCATAAAACTTATCTTTGGATGCTGCTCCTTACCCTGCAGTTTTAGTTAAAATCTGCCAATGAAGTCAAAAGTAATTGGGGAAAAAAGGACAGAACATGACAGCATGTATCTTACTTTCTGAGGAAACTAGTTAAAAAATAATCGTATGGAGCTAGTGTTTGAGAATTGGTTTTGGGGTGAACAGAGAAATCAAACCTCAAACCACTGTCAAGGCTTACAGTCCTGTATCTGGGCCTAAACTTCAGCCAAGGGTTTGGGATTTTGAGAGGCAGCCCCACCAAAACAATGAAACAAGCAGAACTAATTTCCTGTCTCAGAGCCTTGCAAATGTTTATAAATGGCCTCTTGATTTACTTCATATTCACTTTAATTGTGTTGTTGGCCTTCAACATCTTTTCAAGAACAGGAACTGAGTGATGATACATTGCAAACAGAAATAACTGAGGGAAGTAAAAGTAAATGGCACAGTGGCTGCCTCAAAACGCTTTCCTGCCATCTTCTGGACTTTCTCGGTAATGTCAGGGAAGAAGGGTCTCAATTCACAGCTTAAATTCTGGATTTCAGCAGCTGTGTGCCACAATGAGAAAACAACAGGCACCTTTGCCACAGTGTATGCATATTGTGGGTCTTAAAAGCAAGACTGTTACATTCATGATTCAGGTCAGCAAGGAAGACTAAGCAATGAGAGGAAAGTTAGTAAGGGAAATACAGTGTCTTGGGAGGTGGGCAGAGTCAGGTCAGAACAGCCACACATGTAAGTTGCCCACTCAGATGATGAAGGTGAAATACATGATACTCGTGATGCTCCGGCATGGTCTGGAAGCAATCATTACCTTTCAATGAGAACTCACAAAGATGAAACACTGTCAGACTTCAATCTATGACTGTCATGGAGAACATGGAATGTAACATTTTTCCATCAGAGAAAACCAAAATAGGCATAGCTTACTATTTGCCTGTGAAAGAACTGAACATGCCCTTTGCAAATGAAGATGTTTGATTCTGTAAGTAGGTGTCTTTGACATTTTCTGCCAACTGCTGGGGTCAGGTGATCTCTGCCATCTCTTGTTCCTAAAAAGGAGACTGCAACGTTGTGATTACCACACAGTACTGTAAGATTCAGGCATTTGTGGTGGGTTAGCCCTGGCTGGATGCCAGGTGCCCACAAAAGCCACTCTATCACTCCCCCCCTCAGTTGGACAGGGGAGAGAAAATATAACAAAAGGCTCGTGGGTTGAGATAAGGACAGGGAGAGATCACCCAACCAATTACCATCACAGGCAAAACAGACTCAACTTGGGGAAAATTAATTTATTACCAATCAAAATCAGAGTAGGGGGTAATAAGACATAAAACCAAATCTTAAAACACCTTCCCCCCACTCCTCCCTTCTTCCCGGGCACAACTCCACTCCCAGTTTTCTCTACCTCTGTGGCTCAGGGGGACGGGGGATGGGGGTTGGGGTCAGTTCATCGCACAGCGTCTCTGCTGCTTCATCCTCCTCAGGGGCAGGATTCCTCACACTCTTCCCCTGCTCCAGCATGGGGTCCCTCCCACAGGAGACAGTCCTCTGTGAACTTCTCCAACGTGGGTCCTTCCCACGGGCTGCAGTTCTTCACAAACTGCTCAAGCATGGGTCCCTTCCACAGGCTGCAGTCCCTCAGGCACACACTGCTCCAGCGTGGGTCCTCCGCGGGGTCACAAGTCCTGCCAGAAAACCTGCTCCAGTGTGGGCTCCTCTCTCCACAGGGCCGCAGGTCCTGCCAGGAGCCTGCTCCAGTGCGGGGTTCCCACGGGGTCACAGCCTCCTTCGGGCATCCACCTGCTCCGGCGTGGGGTCCTCCACGGGCTGCAGGTGGATATCTGCTCCACTGTGGACCTCCCTGGGCTGCAGGGGGACAGCCTGCCTCACCACGGTCTTCCCCACGGGCTGCAGGGGAATCTCTGCTCCGGCGCCTGGAGCACCTCCTCCCCCTCCTTCTTCACTGACCTGGGGGTCTGCAGGGTTGTTTCTCTCACATGTTCTCACTCCTCTCTCCAGCTGCAGTTTCTGTTGTGCAGCAACTTTTTTCCCTTCTTAAATATGTTATCACAGAGGCACTACCACTATCACTGATTGTCGCGGCCTTGGCCAGCAGCAGGTCCATCTTGGAGCCGGCTGGCATTGGCTCTGTTGGACTTAGGGGAAGGTTTGAGCTGCTTCTCACAGAAGCCACCCCTGTAGCTCCTCTGCTACCAAAACCTTACCATGCAAAGCAATACAAAGTTCTATAGTAAATCAAATAAAGAAGATACATTAGACTCAATTTATCTTTTATTTAATCCCTGTCATATATTTTACTTCTTGACATTTCAGGTAGTACATTTTTCTCTGTTTAAAAATCAGATATTAGAATTTATCTGAAGATTTCTGCTGCCAATTTTTGCTGGTGAATTGATGTTTGTCTCTATTTGCAGAAACTCACATAAGTAATGGAGACTATAAAGAGAATGATCCTTCAAAATGTAGAATTTAGTAGTCACAAAAAAGGCTACAGAACACTTGAACTTAATTTTCAACTATCAAAAAATAGATTAATTTTTAAAATTTAAAAAAATCAGGAGAAAGACAAGCAACTGAAACAAGCCCTATCTTTGCAATACGTATTCAGATTGCCTGAATAAGGAAAGGCTTATGTTTGCTACTTTAATCACAAGCAACAGAATCATTTCACTGAAAAAATAGCAGATTAACTTCCAAGGTACACCTCTGTGCCTCCAGAACTGATCTAACCAAATCAGCTCACCTGGCTTGGTAATTAATAGTTACATTTGCAGTACTGCAAAATTTAGACATTTAATGTTTGATCTGAGGGCATAAGCAAGTGAGGTTGACAGATAAATTGTTGTTGTGAGAGAATTTCCTCCTTTATTGATTAAGAAAAATTTAGTGTTTGTTGTTGCCCTTTATCTAAGCATTCTTTATTGATACACTTAAGATATACATGTATCAGCCAATACTCATTCATATGTGTCCTTTAATATTAGAAACTAAGTCTTGATATATTGAGTGTTGCATATGAAATCATGTAGAAACAGTGAAGTCTAAAAAAATATTACATCAGTAAACTGAACGTGTTCACACTACAATAAGCAAAGGACAAAATTTGTTCAAAAACTTTTATTTACTATAAAGACAAAAACCACCAAAATAGGTACAAATTATACTATATAAAATTGGTTCAATGGGGTAAAAACTTTTAATTAAAATATCTTGATATATTTAAAATAACAAAGGATACAATGAAGCCAAATTTCTTAACCCAGAGATTTCTGTAAAATTTGCTTGCACAGCAAGGTGCTAATAGAAGTTAGCCCTTAAGCCCTGGAAGTCTTAGGAATCAGTCACATAGCAAATATAATTTCATTGTGAAAGTGAACTTTGGTAGAAGAAACTCTATAGGACACCTGAGGTAGTAGAAACTGGAATAAACAGCAGTAGACGTTATTTACAACTTAAGTACCAAATAACATTAAGAACACAAAAAAAATAATTACACAATACAATTTTCAGTCCAGCTTTGATCCAAAGAAAATAAGAATATTACATCACATCTGCATTTTAAAAACACCACAATTACCAGCAAGCTGAGGGAAACGCAAACGCACGCATTTGGACACCTAGAGGCAGTTTAAGTTTGAAATGTGGTAGGCATGGTGATCTACAAAGTAATACTGATTAGCTGAGGTTCATCAGTTTATACAGTTTGCATTTCCACCAGTAACAGTATTAATCTGACAACTGATCTTCCAGTACATGAATTGGCAAGAGTGCATCCTTTAAAGCTTGCACATAAGAAAGACTTGGAAACAATCTTACTAGAACGAGAAATTCTAAAGGGGTAAAAAAAAAAAAAAGTCAAGTACAAAACAGTTAGAGCTACCAAACTTCACATTTCGGTATTATTTTTTTAACTCTTCAAAGTCTGCCAGTCTTCCAAAACAAAGGAATGTAAAATTTCCAAAAGAAACACATTCACAACTAATGACACTGCTTTTTTTTATTAGTATGAGCACTATCATTCCTGTAAACTTATCTTTAAGATGTTTTACTTCCAATTTGTATTGTACATTTTTAATGTACTATAGCTTATTTAGTTTGTCCTGAGTCTTTGAAAATAACCAATTCTA